GAATTTATGGGTTTTTCCTGTCTGGTTATTAATTATTATTATAAATTTGGATGCAAAAGTAAATGTCATGATGATGAAATCAATACCTACTGAGAAGTGAATTAATATTATTTGCTTTTACAGTATTACGAGTTGACAAATGTTTATAAATTGGTAGCTGTAGCTGTTTTTCTGGTTCTATCAATATTTGAAATTTTGAAATTATACTTGGGATATCTTGGAAACCTTGGTGGAAAGGTAATTTATTTTATTCACAATTTAAACTGTTCTTCTTGTGATACAGATGAGCATTGTTAGATTCCAGAATTAGCCAGTTGTTGGCTAATTTCAATACTAATACAATTTCCCCTGGAGATGTTCCTACTTTGTGATCATGGGATGTTGCCTAATTCAACTGAAATCTTTATCAATTCTTTTATGGTTTGTCTTCTGCTGATTGAAATCATTACAGGCGTGATAGCTTTAAAGAATTTAGCAGATCATCGTGCCAAAGTATTTTATTTGACACAATTGTACAGTACACAAACATGAAATTTTTTAGCAAATGTAAGGGAATTATAATTACTTTATTTAATACGTTACTTAATTAATATATCCTGCTCTTTATATCTTTGTTTATACATATTTTTTACATCACAGTGATTTCTAATAAGATTATATCTCATACACAAAACTTCACCAAATAAAGTATGTTATACTAGTTATACTAGTGTATCAAGATTATGAGTTTTATAAAATAATTGAATTGCTGATACATTCGTTCGTAAACGCGTTAAATAAATTTCCATATCGTTTATGAGTGAGCTATCTTCATCTATTTTTTTACCATTAATTGCTCGTAAAAATTGCGGACGTGTAGGGACCATACGCGATAGAAGCTGTACATAAAAATCGGAAGTTAAACATGTTTTTTTACACACATCTGATATATAGAAACTTACATCAAAAAGTTGTTGGGCCATCCATCCATGATAAGGTTCTAAAGCCTCTTTATAGGATTTCTTCAAAAATGCTACTAAGTCATCTGTCGGTGTACCAGTCTTAGCATCTTCGACAATTTTTTCAAAAAATAGTAGAATCATATGTAATCCTCTGTAATTGATATATCCTCATTATGATTTAATCAATATACTATTTAAATATGGGACAAGCATTAACATATGTACATAATGCATTGATTTAAGTTGAATTGAATAATGTATGCAATATACTAATTTAGTTGAATGCGAAATAAGATAGGATGTTGCATGTACCTCGTTAACCATAGTAAAGCATCGGCAGCAATTAATTTAGTATTTGTAGTATTTTCATCTTTTTCAAGCAGAATCATGTCTTGTAACATTGTATTTTTTACTTTGTCCGTAACATATCTGGCTGTGAGTTTCTGTAATGATTTCCAAATATATGTATGTTTATGCATGGTGTAATGACGTACTCGGTACTTACATCTATGTTGCCCTGGATGTCATATTTAACCGGTGCGAATACCTTGCCAAGTTTTTCTGAAATACTTCTTTATAATGCTATTTGGATCATTGAGTAGGTTATGTACTAATAACCGTAGTGATTAAGCATACCTGTGTACATGTGTACATACCTACAATTCGTACGACTCCACGTGCAGCATTCAAAAATTCTATAGTCCTTATTTTTTCATCTATTATTTCCGGAAATAGAATCTCAATTTCATTTGCAAGCGGAGTATCATCATTTTTCGAAGGAGACTGCATATTTGTATGTCTCGGTAATCGTCAATTCAGTTAAAAGTACTAATTGTAAGAACAAAATACATATGTAATGTACATGTGTATGTACATACAAATAACGAAATTTTAATAGCTACTGATACTATAATTTCGTTATTAGATCTATCACGTTTACTCACAGCGGCGTAATACTTTTAAAGATTAGAAATACTTTTTACCTATTCCGGCAAGTCATTTATAATATTTTTTGATTGAAGAAATTTCAGAGCGCATGTCGCTACTCGAAGTTTGTTTCTCTTTCTACAGTGTTATTTGTTTAGCAGATTTGAATTGTTCACTATCAAATGAATCTCAAGTACCCATTGAGCTCAATGCAAGTACCCAAACTCAAATATTTCTCATGTAATTGTAATGATAATCATTTTTTTTTTAAAACAAATTGGATCTGTTAGAGTACTTACTTTAAATATATGAAACGTGTACATATATTTTACTTATAGTCTTGTATTGATTCTGTCTATAAAGGCTTCTTAACTAGCAATGCTCAATACTTTCAATATTAATATCTTCAAAATTTTATTGATTCCACCTTATTCTTTTGTACTAAAGTATCTACAGATTATTATCATTAATAAGGCATCCTCTATAGTTATTTCATGTAGGTAACTTTATGTTTGTACATACAATATGTAGAATATTGATGCAATTTTTAAAAGAAAAACATTACTGAACTAAATACATAATTATTAAACTGTACATATGTATAATGCGACTTCGCATACTTTTCATAAATAATTAAAAGGAAATTTAAATTGTAATACTGTCAGCGCATCGTTTCTTCTGCATCGTAATCGCACATGTCACATACACTCACATTTGTGAACTATCTATAAAATGGACGATTTTTTATATATTTATTTTTCCATTACCTCCGTCCACTCTTTGTTTTCTGTGAAATTATTTATTATTACTTTTTATCATTTTCTGACATACCTAAACTTGGCATGGTATTTACAAAAGGTATTACAGAAGTTAATAGAGTCAGTTGCATTGTACACAATTGTTATCAATTGCAACTCATAATACTGGGGATGTATGTTATATGCTATTCATGTAATATGCTACACACGCACACTCACAGATGTAATTCTTATTATTAGGAATACAATTCGCATATTTTTTATTTCCAGTACGGAAAGCTTTGGTAATTGAGTATCTGCAAAAACAGGTAAAAACTAGATTTTGTACCTTAATATAGCGCATTGAAGAAACAAGCTTATAGGAAACGTTAATAATGGCAAAGCAAATACATATTACGCATTTAAAGTTATATGAATTTCAGTTGGCATTAGGTAAAAGCACCATCATCGATATTACTTGTATGCGCTATGCGGATATTACAAAAGGATAAAATTTGGTATATCGGTATGGATTCGGATCGCTCGATATTGGCCGGTTTTTGTTTCTTGGATACAAAATCATGCCGGGATACTAACGATCATAGAACTTCAAAATGCCGTTGGAAGTGGATGTTTAAGAATGTTGCCAGTCGAGTCTTCAGCAACGAGAGTTAGAGCGACGAGACAGTGAGGTGGAGTTGGTGGAACCAATGCTTCCAGAGGTGGACGGGAACCAGGAAACTGTCGCGAACCAACTACCATTCCTCCTGATGTTTCTCTCAGCTCTATCACTCGTATTCCAAAACGCGAGCGTACGACGTTCCTGCGATAAAAGAAAATCATAGATAATTACTATTTTGTGAAAGAATATATATTATTTTCAGTGTTATACCTTTTTCCATCGTAATCGATGTCGTGAAATGGCTTGCTATAAACGTTGTCCATTTCGCTATTGAACCATCGATGATAGGCGAGGAGCGCTGCGCAGGAAGGTGACCAAAATGTTCGATCAGTCTGCGAGTCAGATTTAGAATTTTGTTCGAATGCAGATTGTAAGAGACTCTTCGAAAACGATCTGTTCAGTTCTGGGCTAGCAGGCGCGGATAATCTGCCTTGTGACCGTGATGAGCTTTGAGTAGACGAAGGACGGGATGTTTCGGATAGCAGACGATTCCTGCGAGGACTTGCTAGCATCGAAAGAGGTTCTTGCACCGTGACAGTTACACTGAGTGGTCTGCTCAATGCAATCGTTGTGTGTTGAGGGTCTCCTCGTAATCCGACAGGGTTACGGTTCGAATCAATTCCAGTTGCTCCGACGAAAACTCGGTCAACGTAATCGAATCCGCGACCCATTATACCTTCGCGTGTATGCCCAAGATCGAACGTGTGCCCTAACTCGTGAAGCACCGAGCCGAGAGTAGTGGCGAGACATCCACCGTACGTACCCCGATAATTGCTATCGTCCATTAATTGTTCCGTATCAATGACCGTAGCGTCTAGAAATCTGGGTAATACTTGATCCATGCAAGTAGGCCACGTATGAAGACAAGCTGATCCGAAAAGAGCTAAACCGCCACCGCCGAGGGCGGCATGTCCTTGTGTCCTCGCGAGAGTGTCTTCGTGAGTACGGGGATTCGGTGCACCTCGATATCTGGTGCAAGAGAGAAACGCGAGATACTTGCGATCTTTCGACGCCAAAGGGCCGGTCATTAATTCTCGTGCGATCAATTCCCAAAGTTCCCGTTGATTCATCGCACGTGCTCGATCGACGTCGAGCATGCTGTGCATTACCAAACATTCCGCTCCATCCAAGTCTCGTTCCAATTGAAACGTTTTCCTTCCGTAACCCGCCTCCCTTAATTTCTCGGCAGTGAGAGTTTGCAACAGTCGGGCACCGAGGCCTATTCTCGTCGCAGCGCTTTCCGGTGACCGATCCTCCCTCCGCGGTCCTTGGAAACAGCCGTCATGTCCGGCGCAAATCACGTAAACTGGAGTTACGCGTAGCCTCGTTGTTCTTGGTTCGTAAATCAGAAGCAATCTTTTCTTTTCGCTCGCCGCTTCTAATTCCAACTTATTAGGACCTCGACTCAATTCTACTATCGCTCGGAATTCACCCGAGACGATCGGCCACTCGGAACTCTGATTCTTTTGATTTCGTACAATGACATAACTGCATGCGGTTGATGCGCGACCTCGTATTAGAGCTAAACTGTAACACAGGCTCTCTCCGTCCGTCAAATTCGTTACTGATATCTCTTCTAGATTTCCGTTTTTTGTGGATTTGCATTGCCGATTTTCCCGCTCTAGCGGAAATTGGCTGTTACTCTCGTAATGATATCTACGCTGGTACCGCTCTTCTTGCTGTAACTGCTGCTGTTGCTGATGCTGATCGCGAAGAAGATTTGCCAGATTTGTGTCCGCAAGTACCTGTGAAGGTAGTGCGGTTTTACGTGCTATATTAGATGCAGCAAAACGATGACGAAGAGTAAAGCAGGTCGATGAGGGCTACAATGACGATGAAGATCACGATGATCGTGACTACGATGACCAGAATATTATGATGACCTTTCGACGAATTCGCAATGTATTCGTGTAGTTAGCAAACATGGAGATGCGATTTCGTTCATTATCTTTATTTCTCATGTAGTTTTTTTAATATCTTATTTAAATGATGAAGAAAGATAATAGCGAAAACATGACCGCAGCAATGTCAAGGGGGTGCTGCAATCTCGCGGTGATTTATATAATACACTTCGAAGTTTAGCATCCTTTCCGTTTTATTTCCCGTTCTCCGCATTGCATTCATAGATACACGTCGCCACGTAAAATGTCGAAAAGGATAAGACGAGTCGAGCGAAGGATTCCTTGAATGGCAATGAAAAGTTTTATTCAAATTATGCAGATTGATCGTAATCAGGAGTGAGGTATGCGTGCGAGCGAGAGTACCGATAGGAGTGTACTGAGAAGGCGACGTGATTGAATTTCCTCCAAAGAACAAGCTTACGATGTAAACATTAAACGAAATAGAAGGAGCCTGGATAAGTGACGATGCATGTCGATACGATAAATAATTATTATTGTTCGAACACGCATGGAGTGGGCGAGGGTGCGCGTGCATCGAACACGAACACGAGTAGAACCGGAAGTGTCGAAGCGGCAAACATTTAAAGTGTAATTAATTTTATTTTAGATTCTGAGTAGTTCACTTACCATTGTAAAAGAAGCGTGAAAGCCGAAATAGCAGATGTACGCGTTAAAAAAAGAAAGGCAGGAGCTGAACGAACTGTCAGTTTCAGCCGGCTCCGTACATACGGAGAGAAAGACTGTGGCGCCGAGACGACGGCGGACGGCGGGTTGCCGTACTATGGCGTCGTTGCAGCGGCGCATGCAGTCGCGCACTCGCACTCGCGTTCCTCCCTTTTCTCACCCTTTGCGTAAACACCCTCTTCGTTTCCATTGCACACTCTTTTATTCGTTTAATCGTTAAGAGGACCGCCGTCTACTTTACACTCTTCTTCTTTAAAAAGCATCATCACTCTCTATTGGCTATTCCACTGCATTTAGATGTTCGTCGGGTTATTTCATTAACGAACGCTTCAAAACGTGACTATTTATTATATTATGAAAAATAAGAGAAACTATCTCGCATATAATCGGTATGACGAATTTGATTTAACTGAAAGCGAAAGGGAAAGGATTTTTCTTGATTGTATATCATTTATGGAAAATGCTTCATTTATGAGATGATTTCAAATCTGATTCTGATACAATAACACTCGACCAACTAATTGTATATGCGCGCGTTCGCGAGTAGGGTAGATTTGTAAAACGATGTCAAGGACGTGTATGTGTATACATATAACAGTGATGCATGTACTTACAATGTTTTCTTGCAGGTGAAATGCCGTACATAATTTTAATATAGTTTCGAGATGCTCTGTTAGCCACATACTTCAACTGTTTTAATTTCGACATTGTTACGTTATGCTATTCAATTGTCTTTCAGAGCTGTGTCTTCTGATCGAAACTTAAATTATCATGAGTATTAAGTTGATTATTCAGAAGGTTCACTGATTATACAATGCGAATACGAACGTATAATAAAGTGCTTATATCATTTGTACTGGCAAAGCTTTTCGTCTACGACTACCTATTTTACTAATATGAGTAAGAAGATGCAAAGCATATGGCAAGTATCGTTGTCGGTGAGAGAGAGGTGCAGAAGGGAGGGGGTTAGCGACCGTGAAAGTGCTCCCATGTAAAAGTAGAACGACAGTTTTTCAAAATCGTTGCGACGATTGCGTGCGCCCACAACTGACCTACTTGACGACCGGTCGTTGCACCGTACCTCAGTTTCCTCGGTTGTTGTGGATCTTTGGCCATCCTCAAGCGAGAGACACTCTTACGTGCGCACGATAAAAGTAAACTGCGAATTTCATTCTAGCAGAGAACGTTTTCGTGCTACGATTCCCGTTCGTATTTGTTTCTTCGATACGAGATGATGCGATACGATACGCTATAAAGCTATGGTTTCATGCTCTAGTTAGTGTACAATGCTCTCGTAACGCGAATTGAAGGGACGGTGTCGCGGAACTGTGATCAGTTTGGGGCTTGGGGACGTAGACGAATCAAGAATGGAGGAGGGTTCGTGCGTACGCGTTTTACGCTGAGGCTTGCGCGTGTTTGCGGCCGATTCAAAGCTGGTATGATTCGTCAGCCGTTTATCTACTCGACACTTGTTCTATTCGATTGATCACTGTTACGCTCGTGTATCAACATACCGGAACGTTGGCTGTGTCGACGCACACAAGTACGTGTTGCATGCCTTTCGACTCGGGAACAAACAAGAAACGGACGACTTTTCCCACTGAAAACTAGGTCGTATCGAAAAATGAGGCTTCGTTTCATATCGTTATTCACCGCCCTTTCGTTACGATCAATCGATGAGAAAGCACCTTTTTCATGATTGCGTCTTCGTTTCACGATTGTGTCATTGACACAATCACGTTGGTTCGCACGTTCCTTCCTGTTCGTCTTCCCTCGACGATGCAGAAATTCCTTTCCGTTTGTTCGTTCACGTGTTTTGCCTCTTCTTCGCCGCTGCTCCCCTCGCAATTCGTTCGATTCCCTCGTGTCCTCGTCGTAACTCATCATCGGTAGTTGACAAGATTTTCGCTATCGCCAAAACAGAATTCGCAGCGTCTAACGATAAGACGAGAGCATACGAAAGAAAGCGAGACTACGAAGGTAAGCCGGGGAGAACGAACTACACCGGAGAGAGTAGGCCAATGCCAGTGTCAGCGACACGGCTAGTAAGTGTCTGACGGTAAACCTGATCGTGAAAACAGAGAAACGTGTTGCACCCATTACATTTGTCTCCTTGCGATTTGTTTCGGTACAATCCCGCGCTTCGTAATACGCGTACGCTTTTGGTGGAGCGATCTAATTGTTTAGGCCGATAGCTCTGGGAGATCTCTTGGTTTCTAGTTAAACATCCAAGTTCATAGAGCGTGACGCGCCGATGGCGAACGAGGTTCGCTTCCTGTTCCTACCAATATTTTTCCTTTAATGTGTATTGCATTTATTTCTCAAGACAAGAACATACCCGCGTGTACACGCATTCGGTAAAAATAAAAAGAGACGCGAGATTATGTAGATCATTGCCACACGCAATTCACGATACGTATGCAACAATGGAAGAACGTGGGATGACAGTGTCTTGGCAGCGTCGAATAAAAATTACTTCTTGGCCTAGTGATCGAATACGGATAGAACGAAAACAATTACGGGCTACTAAAACGAAATGAACAACCGTGTCGCGTCGCGTCCGAATTGTTTGTCAATCATTTTTCGGTATTGACCACGCGCATTTTTCGGACGGTGACGATGCGACGCTTTCTGAACGTGATCGTGAACGTCCCGTTCGAGTCGGCTGTCTGGTATACATACCTACACTAGGTTAGTAGTTGGTAACGAAGTAACTTCTATAGTAAAAGGAAGAAAATCGGCTCGCACGCGAGAACGTCATGTATGGAATTCAAGATCAAGCAGTTACGCAGATTACGCCATGCGAACAAATGATTTTGAAACGATTTTGGCATTGAATTACACGACACGTAGACGCGATGAAGAAACACTTTATTCATAAAGGGAATCAGCGAGATTACAAACAAACCTTTTCGGGATGCTCGTAGACATGTAGACAAGAATTCGTTTATGAAGTTCATCGAACTCGTCGACTCACTTCGTCTAGGATTTCGACGCTCGAAACAGACGAGACGAGAATTTTCTAGATTTTTTATAGATCTGTTGTCGATAGTCGCAAGAAAAGAATAAATAGAGACGATACGAATAACATTTCATTTCCCGTTTGTTGTTTTACGCTCATTTCCTCTTTCGTAAGCTAATCTGTAAGGTTGTAAGAAATGAAAGTGATACGACGAAGGAGGAAGAAACGAAGGGTTATAAGGCATCGGAATTGAAAAAGCCTATTTAGATGGATCAGCTTTCACTAATACGTTGTTTAATCAAAAAATTCAATTTAGTAACGATGTCTCCTAAATAACGCAGGTGTTTCACTTTCGACGACCGAGGAATAAAATTCATTCGAGTACTCGAGACGACGACGATGACGGTGTGTTCGCGCCGTGTCAAGGACAACGCGTCTATCGTCGCGTACTTTCCTGAGAGCTAAGAAAATCTCCACTTCTGGCGTATATACGGTTCGAACGTTGCAGGAGACAACAACCACGGCAACGTCATCGACATCGACTTATGAGAGATCAATAAGCGTTCCACCTTCGGGAAAAATTGTATTTCACTCGCTGTTATTCCTTTGAACGTTACAATCATTTCATCCCTTTAAAATGTCGATATGAATTCAGCTATTAATTCAGATCTTCATTATTTAATACGGTTCCTTTGTACGTACGTCTTATTCCGAATAAGAACACCAAAGAATATTCTACATTTTCATATTCTTTATTGCAATTCTCTGAAGCTGAAGCAGCTTACGTGAGCAACAAGATATGAATCCAGGGACGGATTCTGTGATTAATCGATCTGTATGAAGTTCTAATTATCATGAAAAATCAATAGATGTTTTTTATCATGACAGACGGTATCTTGCTTGCTGTTATCCTTCAAAAGAATTTGTTAGTCCTTATTTATTATGCGATTGTCAATCATGTGTCGACATGTTTTTACATTGTTTTCAGCCGTCACCAATAATTTTATTCACAGCTCAGGGGTTGAAATGGTAACGATCGGAGCTCGATGCACTGTTTACTCTCCCGACCAGATATAAATCCAGGGACGAATTCTTTGATTAATCGATGCGTATGAATTTTAATGCTAATGTCGTTGAGATAAGAATCATGAAAGGATATAACCCCGAAGAATAACGGTAAAAGGTAGATAGTTAGATAGGAACAACGATAGACCAACGCGACGGTGTGCGCGTTCGTGGTCGTCGTGCATCTACTGTTAACCAGTGTTCTGCATCGAATCGGAAACAGGGAAATGAGAGGGAGAAAATATCGGGCGTTGGTGAGATCTTTAATGTCCTCACGTCCTGGCGGAATTAGGCCGACAGGGTCTGTCGTCGATGTCCTTGACACGCTGAAAGTGAGACCAAGCCCGCGCGCGAGCGCTAACTTTAATGTCTTACGCAATCGGTCGTAGGTGTATCATCGCGAGCGTCAAAACTCGCATCAGCATCAGTACCGGCATTCTTCAAGATAATCGATAACAACGATGTTATTCTCTAATAAATCGTGTCAATACTGGATACACTTATACATAGACGTAACAGTTGAGAAAATATGTAACATGATTTATATGCGTCTGTTTTGAATAAATGTAAAACGGGACATGCAGTATATGAATGGTTACTATAGTGTCTCAGGGGAAAATTGAGTCAATTCCTGTGAGCTTCTGAAAAAAGTGATTGTAAATCACTACGGTGTCTCCGATGAATAAAGTGCAATTACATCTGGCTGCGTGCCCATGTTTTTGATGACCCGCGAACGCTACGTAGATATAGTTCAAACGCTCGATACGTAGGCGCCAGGCGTCTTGACGCTAGCGCTGCAGATATTTCCATCCTGCTGTGTTCGCAATTTCTTTTAAGCGAGAAGTAAGTGTTTTGCGAAGTTATGTTTGTCCGTAAGCGTATTCGGATGGAGTAAACAATATTTTGTCATCGGGTCTGCTATTTGATTCATAGACAAAATAGTCTCCGTTTCGGTATATGTACGTACGTACGTCTGTTATACGTAGGATGCATGCCGTTTTATGATAATTGACGATACGTAATTTTGACCGGTCAAGGTTACAAAAGCATACGGACAGACGCATATACATACACGATTTTCGTTCTTTTCCCTCATATATTACATGTGACGTGTGACAAACGAAAGCGTTACGTCTCAGACTACGAATTCTCGCAATATCTTCCGAACAGGTTTAACGCACGTTTCTGAAATAGTTTCTCGGTTCTTAGTTACGAATTACGACCGCCCAATTCGCCGCGTTAATGATGAAAAAGCCCGCCGGGCGTGAAAGCGAACTCTCTAGATGCAAAGCAGCCATCAGTTAGATTTTTGGTAGAAATGGTCAATTTTCGCAATTGAAACGGGGTGAAACAAATGTATTCAAAACAGAGAAACATCTAAGATACCTTTGATTTCACGGTACTGTTTATTATCTTCTGTGACAGGCAATAATTACATGAAATACGCGAGACGGTGCAGGATTCTCTAATGTAACGAGTCAGTATCAATCTAAATTGTGATCATCCCCTGATCGTGTCCGTGTTTGTGCTCCATAGAATTGTTTGCATTCCTTCCCATCAATTTTCATTGTTTGCTGCCGCACGCTCGGCCGTGAAATGAAAAAGATGATAAATTGCTACGGTGGAAGCTTCCGTACTTATACAGTAAGCAACGATTCGAAAATACGGTCGGGGAAAGGGAAAGTGGTTTGTCGAGGTTGATCGTTGAGAGCAACGTCTCGCCTTACTTCCCCCATTGTCCATCAGGCATTAGCCATCCTTCTCAGAACTCGAATAGATGAATACAAGGATCGTTTTGAGAATTATTAAAAGGATCACGAACAAATCATTTAAGGAAAGAACACTGTGAATCAGATTCGACAAAACGAACGAA